CGTTTTTTTGACGTTTGGAGAAAAAATTCATTTTTCTCCAAACGTCAGAAAAACGTCACTTTGTTAACCCCTGTCAAGATGTCAGAAATTTGATTTCTATGCTGCTAGGCAAATCCAGCGGGTAATACCTGTCGAGGTGGTAGAAATTTAATTTCTATACTGCTTGGCAACCCCAGCGGCAGCAAAAGTACTTTTAGTGCCGCTGGAGCGGCAGTAAAAGTACTTTTAGTGCCGCTCGTACTTTTGCTGCCGCTCAACCATTCACTTGCCCCCGAGCTTACCCCATTCGTTTGGAGAAAAAATAGCGTGTTGCATACGGAGTAGAAGCACTTTTTTGTGCTTCAGCACAAAAAAGTAAAACTTCTACTCCTAATACAACAATATACTATTTTCAGTGATAAAGCCAAAAGTATTCTTATAGAACTCATGTTGCATACAGGACTAAATGTTTCTTTGTAGTCAATGCCATATTGTTGCTGGAAAACTCTCACTACAAGCCTTGCCTTGTACTTTTCATCATCCTTAATTCGAAATATCCATTTGCTTGTTAGTGATTTTCTGTTTTCTGTTTTGTTTCTGTGTACTAATGTCCAAGTGTTGTTCTTTTGTAATGATTTCTTTTCTTCTTCAATTGCTTCCTTCCATTTGTCCTTATCTATACTATTTAGGATTTCTTTGTTCTTCTTCATGGCCTTCTCCCAATGGTAAAACTGTCTCTTCTGTCTCATTTTCTTTTTCTTGTGCTGGCTGTTCTGAGGTATCTTCTATTACAATTTCTTGTTCTTCCTCTTCTATAGATTCTATCCTTCTTTTTGGTTCTTCGATTTTCTCCTTTGGATCTTGAAAAATCACATCCCTGTATATTTTAATATTTCCTGTTTTTTCGTCCCATAAACGATAACCATTAAACGCATAACCCACAAATGTGAATTTTTCACTTCTTGCATCAAGCTTTTTGATGTGTCCCAAAATTTTAGCATAAGCTGTGACTCCAAAAACTTGCTAGTTTGATAGATCTGGTTTTCTGCTTGTCCATTTTTCAATGGGTGTTACTTCAATGGTTTCTGTAGGACTTTTGTTTAATAGATAGGCTGCCACATACATAGCTTCCCCCCAGAATTTCTTGTTCGGTTTAGCCTTTCTGCTTTACCATTTAGTTGTGGACTATAGGGTACGGTATAATCCAAAACTATGCCCTTATTTTTACACCAAATTTGAAAATTATTACCTTTGTACTCGCCGCCACTAATTTTCGTTTCAATACGACACGGGGTGATCACAATAAATTTTCAAAATTTAATGGACCAAACCGCAAAAATGTCATATTTTGAGGCCTTGAGAAGAACAAAACTTGATACAACATAGTTTTAGAACATCCTTGACCAAAACTCGTGATAAGCTTGTCTCAAAATATAACATTTTTGCGGTTTGATTCATTAAATTGTGAAAATTTGTTATCATCACCCTGTATCGTATTGAAACAAAAATTAGTACATTTGGGTTTTAGACTATTCTAAACAAGAATCTGCTATCAGATTTTCTCTAAAAAAAATCTCTAATAGTACTTATTGAAATTTGGGCTTATGTGGACAACCTGTACGCCAGTACAGCCGCAGAAATAAAATTATGAGCCTAATAAGTGCCAAATTCGAGTAGATACAAGACAAAAAAAAAAGATGAACTGAATCGGTTGAAAAATAAAAAATTTAGAAGGGTGGTCAGTCCTTAAGCGGGACACACTGTATATGCACCATTAGGCGGTAAATTCAACTCATCGCCCGTCTCTTTTAGGAAATAAAACAATTAGAATTATTTATTATATTTATTCAACAACTATAAGTACCTACATACTAGTAACAAAGTCGATGTGGACAACCATGGGGGGAAACTGTTTATTTTTGATAACAAATGATTCTGATTGTGTCTTTTTCCATTTTGGTTTACCTAAATAATTGAAAAAAGAATTGGCTATTTTGGTTTATGGATTTCAATGAAAAATTGTTATTGAAAGATCCATTCGAAATGTTTAATTAAATACCAAAAAATATTGGAGAAACAAAATACCTATATATAGATAACAATACATACTATATTTTTAAAAATACAACAAAAAAATCTTTTTGGGCTTAAAACATCCAAAAATATAATACAACAGTAATATTGGGCAAATCTCAATTAATTCCATTATCGTAACTTGACAATAATTACGATATCTACCGATCGACGGTTCATTACCAAGTAAGAACCTGACTTTGCATACTAACTAAAGGCACGTCTAATTGGTTTGGATGCGATTAAGTCACTAGTATTTTATTAATATTCAAGATAAATGAGATTGGATTTTTTTCTTTAGGTTTGAATTAACTACCACCAAATGAGCTTCAAATATAGCTAGATCATTTAATCCATAATATACATATGTTGATAACATCCTTCTTGACCGAAGAGACGAGGGAGACAAGTATTCAGTCCAAGCTTCTTACAAATCGAGTTTATCTGTCTTGTTTCCCGCGTAATTGATGCAATTTCGTGCTCGGGTTTCAGAAGTTGGCTATCATCACGGTGGCCATTTCATGGAATCTGCTCTGATCTGCAACCCTGACAGTTATTTCCGACCAATCCAACTACTTTCTACTCTACCCTAACCTAGACGAGATAAATTATATTATCAGTTCTCGATATAATCGCCCACTTAAATTCAGTCACTTTGGAAAAAATACTTGGAGTTCTCAACTTGTGTCTTTTATGCCAAGTATTATCCATTCACAATCCGATGTCCACAGATACAGGTAAAATGTATCACCTTTCAATGCTATTTGATGGGGAAAGGTGATAAACTTACCTGTACCTGTGGACATCGGATTGTGAATAGGATATAGGTGCAGATGATTTCCATGATATAAATTATTGTCAGGCACCCTGAATGCATGACAAGATTTGTTTATCAAAATAAATATTCATCCTCAATATTTCCTTGGCTGTAGGCCACTTGGTTTTAATCTTCTTCGACGACGTACCTTGTAGACAGAGTCGACTGGAACTTGAAAATCAATATTGAGTATAGTTCGTAACAAAATATACTGCCGTGGCGTTTCTTGTTTCAATTAGAACCTTACAAGTAGCAGAATTGTTGTTCAGTTCAGCCTAATGGCAGAAAATTTATTTGATTAGTACAAGATCTTAATTGTTTAATCCTACTGATTCCATTAGACGAATTAGACAAGACCTAAGAACATACAACACGAAAGAACAAAGATCATAACAATAATCCAAGAAGAATAAGGAACTCTACTCCAGCACCACACTAAAACCAAGATGTCGAACAAAACATGAACATAAAGAATGCAGGTTCTGAAGACATACCAAAAATCACCATCTCGGAGATAACACTTGCACTCTCACAGCTTAAATCTAGAAGAGCTCCTGGGGAGAACGGAGTTACAACAGAAATGTTAAGACTAGGAGGAGAAAATGCGCTAAAAGTAGTACAGTCTCTCTTAAACAGATGAGTTGAGACAAGTCAAATCCCCCAATCGTGGAACAACGCACAGATCGTCATACTCCATAAAAAAGGTGATAAAAACCCAATAGAAAACTATAGACCCATCAGCTTGCTTCCACATCCGTATAAACTTCTTACAAAAATCATAACAAACAGGCTAACATCCAAAATGGACTCCTATCAGCCAGAGGAACAGGCAGGTTTCCGGGAGGGATATAGCAACACATATCACCTTCAAACAATTCACAAACTTGTAGAAAAATGCACTGAATACAATGTCCCACTACATATTATGGCTATACAGCAAGGCCTTTGATTCCATACACCTAAGCGCAATATTTAAAGCAATGGAAAACGCACGGATTGACTCAAGATACATAAACCTGTTTAAACACATTTACGAGAACGCCACATTCCAAATAAAGATCGAAAGCGACATGACGCACCAAACGGCTGAAATTACCAGAAGAGTGAGTATGACCTGGGCAGCATTTGGAAGGTTGCGCTTTATCCTAAAAAACCCAGATATTCCTGTAAGCATGAAAAGAAAAGTGCATGACATTTGCATACTCCCTATACTAACGTACGGTCTGGAAGCCATGACACTAACCATAAAAAGTGCAAACAAACTGAGAGTCACTCAGAGGGGCCATTGAACGTGCAATGCTAGGCATTAGTCTGAGAGACAGGATAAACAACTACGACATACGTCGACGCACGGGTGTGAACGATGTGATCCAGTGCATAGGAAAAGCAAAGTGGAGATGGGCAGGCAACGTGGCGAGGCAACCGAACAACAGATGGACAAAAATAGTCATGCAGTGGAGACCAAGAACACACAAACGCGGCAAAGGGAAACCTCAAAAGAGGTGGATGGATGACATTTACCAGAGGGCAAGGAGAGGATGGCAGCACATTGCACAAGACCGTCAGATATTGAAATTGGAAAAGAAGGCCTATGTTCAGGAGTGGACGCGACTGGGCTACTTATGATGATGACTGATTCCATATATCCGGATAAAAGACGTGCCTGGACTGAGTCAAATCTCTTTCAAAATTTATCAAGATCAAGGAGGCTATTGTAAAATAGGGCCACAAATTAATCGTCCCTAAGGCTCTACATGACCTACGATTTTGGAGCATTCAAAGAAAGATTTTAAAATTATGCCTCAAAAAGTTTATTATTCTCACTTCGACGCTAGATGTTCCTACAAGCTTTATTACTCTTCTTTGGTAATGGTATAAAGATTGATTTCAATTATTAGTAAACAAGAATCGGGTCGCTATTATAGATTTCATTAAAGAATGCAGGCAAATGAGTTAAAGGATTTCCTTAGAACACAGGAGACACGATCTAATTGTTCGAATAACATTCGCTAATAAGGAAGTGTTTCAGCTTCACTGCCGTATTTCCAGAATCGGTTGACAGAGTCCATGAATTCGGAAAGAACAGACGGCATTTTGATAATACCTACTAATACTATTTTTTTTCTTTCAGTGGGTATGCCTGATTGGTTTGATAGCAATAGCCAGAGCTGGAGTAATCGCTCCAGCTGCGGCAATTGTAGCCGCTCCAGCACCGATTGTTGCAGCTAGACTATCTGATGCCACATATGACGTTAATCCACAATATTCTTTCGGTTATGACGTGCAAGACGCCCTAACTGGAGACAGTAAAGCTCAAGTTGAAAGCAGAAACGGAGATTTTGTTCAAGGACAGTACAGTTTGACTGAACCTGATGGTAAGGCTTTCAAAGCATTTTCGAAGCTATACAATATTATTATGGATGTATTTTCAGGTACCAGAAGGATTGTTGACTACACCGCGGATCCAGTGAACGGATTCAATGCTGTAGTGCGCAAAGCTCCTTTGGCTGTAGCTGCTCCATTTGTACAAGCTGCACCCTTAGTAGCTAGAGCTGTTGCTGCGCCATTGATTGCTGGATAGATTTAATATGAGGAATTTGACTGATTTTGTATATTATGGACCTTTTTTTTATTATAAAATTTGACTTTGTGACTTTTTATTTAATTGTGTTCAAATTGAAAACTCTAAGTCGGTTTCAATTGTGTTTTGTCACAGACAAAATAATTGTAGCTAAAAGTTATAAGCATCACTGCAATTTTTGAAGGAGAAAAGCAGAAAAGGATCCAATAGAAATTTAGAAAAGTACGGTTAATCCTAGAAAAAGTTAAAAAGATTTGAAAGTATTTTGCAAAATCATGTTTTCGAGTTGAGATTCAAAGAGAGTCAGATTTGTTGATATAGATTTTCATAGGCATGAATTGAACTGTGTTCAGTTGTTAACATCATAAGATACTTATAAGGAGCAAGTCTCAGAGAATCACTCCAAAATTTTAAGGTCGAACTCACCTCTTAGTTGCCAGACCACATATCGTATCAATGAACATTTTGCTAGCCGCATATGAATATGATTCCCCTATGTTAACTGAGAATCCTGATTCAAACCAAGAAACTTCACAGCCATGAAAATCTTATAGATTTAGAGGTGGGGAGATGTAGGACAGCTTCTAATTTGGTGTCATTTGCCGAGAAGCTCTCTTTTCGAGTCTTTGCAAAGGCCGAAATCAGACTTTTAGGGTAGTTCCCCGTTTTAGTGCCGCATATCCTCGAAAAATGTTATGTCAATAATCCAATCCAAGTATTTATTGATGTAATGGTACACGTTCACCTAATTGATTTCAGGAGTAGTGAGAAGCAAAAAGGATTTTTTTGACATTTGCTATTTGAAGTGTTCGACTGGTTGAATAATTGCCCCCCCCTTCCTTGATTTAACTATAAGAGTATATTACAAATATTAATAACATTAAGGTAGTTGGATAAATGAGTCAAGACTACACGGAAACGATATCGATGTTGAAGACCACGGATGTAGCCTTTCTTATTGGTAGGCAAAGGCAAAGAATGCAAAGCTACCAAAAACAGACTGACTTCCTTCCGCCCGGTGGAGTACCAGGTAATCTTTCGCTGTTGTGCGCAACATTATGGATATTCAAATAGTTGAATCCAGAATCAACGTTTTGACACTTACTTGGTGTGATTTTCAGGGCTTCCGTGGCAGCTGATAAATAATTTCCTTTTTAGATAAGCGTGTCCCAGAAACCTGGAACAAACTTTCAGACTAGTCCCAATTTTCTGTGAGTATTGGTTTTGTATGTGTTTGAAACACCCAATGTCAATGTTTTATGTCAAGGATTCAATGATGGAGGGTTCAGGGCCACTCAACTGAATAGGGACTAGTTGATATGAACATGAAGTTGTGTGTACCCTGGAAGCTTGATTCCGGCTTTGGGAAAGATGGCATAAAACCAGTGTCAAACCTGGGCATTCATTAATAGTTAATAGTTAGTTGGTTTCTTCCGAATAAAAAGTCGCTAACATAAATGTGAGGCGCAGGAGCGTCACACATAAACTAGAGAAATGTTAGGGACCAGAGTTGACCAATGCCACATATGTTAAGAACCCGGAGTCTTCCGATGGCTCCAATGTAGTAATCTTGGATTGTTTCTAGGCCTTGTACCTATTATCCGGTATTTTGATAAAGTAAAAAGTAAAACACAACCACACAAAAAAAAACTTTTTTTTGTGGCTCGAGTTATTGTAGAGCCCGTTTCAAGATGTCGTATCGATTTGACAGAGAAAGAGGTGGACTATAAGATAATCTGTGACTTCTGTGGTGTCTGGAATTGCTTGGCCTGTTCAAAATTCTCAACGTCAGACGCTCAGGTGACACGTTTAAAGTTCAGAGTTATGCTTTATGCATGCAGTGGCTGTGTAAATTCCGTCAAGTCACTTGGAAATGATGTTGGCGCCGGCTTGAAATTGGTTATCAAGGATGTCACCAGTAAGGTGTGTGACACACTCCACTCTAAAATAAACTTGCAGGTAAGCTCAAGGGTATGAATTCATACCTTCAAGACAAGCTTACAGCTAACTATGATGATTTCCAATCGAATCTGGATCATGTTACCAACAGCGTTGGTGAACTCAAAGCCACTCTTTCTTCACTGAAAAAGTCAAACACTGCTGCAGACGATAATCTTTCAGAAATAAATAATGCCAGCCTTGTCATGCCCAACTCAGCAGCATCTGCTGTTTATGATATGAAGATAAAGGAACTGGAACAAAATAACGAAGATTCAAAGACTAGGCTACTCGAGCTTGAAAATGAGCTCCAGCTACTACTGCAATCCTGAATTCCATAAAAACTGTATCAAACTCCTCAGGTCCTCCGTTAGCCCCATCTCAATTCCAACCTACTCTACAGTCAGTGCCCATTAGGAATGAATCAAGAAGCTTTCAATCATCCAATAGTCTGCAACTAACTGGTCAGCGAAAGTCCCAGCGACCAGTTCGCAGCATAGAGCGCCAGTCAGTGCCTAATCCAGTAAGACTATCGGAGCGCAAGCAAGTAACAATCCTGTATTAATCGGCACAGGTGCCGACAGAGGTCTTTTCTCTGCAGATGAGGGGCGTTAGTAGCTATATCTGGGTCGATGCAATCCGAGTACCACCGAAAAACAGATCTCTGACTATTTGAAGGATCAGCTTTCCCTTCCTGATGTCAAATGCTCGGTATTGGCATTTCTGTCAAGGAGTTTCATCCTCGTCGTATGTGGGAAAACCTTCCACAGCAAATTTTCAGAGAGGGGAAAGAGAGACCAGTCTCATTAGATTGTGCTACCTTTCTGTACCAAAATGTAGGAGGCCTAAAAACTAAACTCAAAGATGCTTTCTGTGCTGTTCGCGCCAAGTCTTTCTCAGTAATCGCACTGGAACCTGACTAGACTTTAGTATCTGCGATGCTGAATTTCTTGACTCACGTTACACGGTTTATCGCTGTGATAGGAGCAGTCTAAATAGTGCTGAAAGCCGTGGAGGTAGGGTGCTTCTGGCAGTATGTAATTGCTTTAAATCTCATTGTCTGTCAATTGGTGAAGTATCGGTGGAGGAAACATGGGTGTCAGAAAATGGTCTTCTGTATTGGCTGTGTCTACTCTACATTCCACCTACCATGGATGTTTCGTATTATGAAAACCACTTGAATCAGTTGCGAGTGCCTGTGAAATGTTTGATGATGTGCTTCTTCTTGGAGATTATCTTTCTCAAATAACGTGGTCCACTAGTGAGAATCTCTCTGGTATTACTTGGAAATATAAGGTCAACTAAGGAAATATTGTTATGTGCTGGTACTGCTTCTCTCAATCTGTCTCAATACAATGGGGTGACTAACGATCATGGTTCAATTCTGGAATTATGCTCAGCTAACTTTGAGCTTGTTTCAATTGTAATATCTTAAGGTCTGGCGGGCTGTGATCGTTATCATTCAGCTCTGGAGTTTTCCATACCTGTTGATAAAGCCAAATTTCTGAAGCCTCTCAATTATGTTTCCTATGACTTTAAAAATGCCAATTACGATGTAATTAATGAATATTTTCTTTTTTTTTTGATAGGCGATCCATTATGACTGAGGATCTAAACGAAACTGTTAATAACTTTCACTCGGCGCTGTTCGACTGCTTTAATATGTTTGTTCCAATAAAGAGACATTGTTACAGCGATAAATTTCCTATCTGGTTTTCTTACGAACTAAAAAACCTAATTTTTCAAAAGAAAATTGCTCACAAACTATACAAGCAGTCGGATAGTGAAGTGGATTATTTTCCATTTAATTCACTTCGAAGCGATTGTAAAAACCTCACCAAGGAGTGCTAAAAATTATACATGTGATACTGAAAGGGCCCCATAGGCACTAATGTGAAAGTCTTCGGAACTTTGTTCATTCCGAATCCAATCCTATCCCTAAGGAAATTTTCCTCTGTCTATAACCCCCAGGAAATTTCAATGCCAGAACTTTTGCTGATGGGTTTGAGAATGTTTGAAGCATTGTCATAGACCTAACCAAGCAAGTGGAGATCAACAAGTATGCAGGACCTGATGGTACTCCTAACAAAGTACAAAAATCTTGTTCTAACACTTTGTATCTCCCACTATTTATTATTTTTAACAAATCCTTAATTTCTGGAATTTTTCCAGAAATGTGGAGGCTCTCTTATGTTTGTCCTATTCACAAGTCAGGCAGCAAGAATGATGTAACAATCCTGTCTGCAATTTCTAAATTATTTGAGCAGTGCGTTGAAAATATTCTTCCAAAAATATTTCATCAGATTGTGATCAGTCAACAGCATGGGTTTACAGCCGGTAGATCTGTTGATATGAACCTATTCCTCTTTACAAATTTTATAAATTCATCATTTGATAACAATGCAGAAACTCATGCATTATATACTCACTTCAGTAAAGCCTTTCATTAGGTAAATCATAACATCCTTCTTTCAAAGCTCTCAAGTTATGGCGTTTCCGGACCCTTACTTTTATAAATGAATTCTTACCTTACTAACAAAATGCAACAAGTCAAGATCGATGGCTATCTTTCTTCTCTTTTCCATGCATCCTCTGGGGTACCCCAATTGATAAGTGTTGTTGTATGAGCTTCAGTAGACTCAGCTGTAAGGTTCCTTTTCAATATTGCTTGGGTGATGTTCGCTTGTTTGAAGTTTCTAATCAAGGATCTTGGTGTCTATCTAGATACTAGGCTAATGTTCAGCAAGCATTTTGAAGTGGTAATTGGCAGGGCTAATAGAATGTTGGATTTTATTAGGAAAGCTTCTAGGGACTTTACAAGTATTCGCCCCATCAAAATTCTTTACACAGCACTGGTGAGATCCGTTCTTGAATTTTCTTGCATAGTTTGGTCACCTTATTATCAGATCCACATCAATAAGCTTGAGAGTGTTCAACACAAATTTATCAAGTTTACTAAGTACAAACTGCCTCTGAGTGGTGTGATTGTCAGCGTTGACCAGACTATGACTTACTTAGACTTAACTACTCTTGTTCGCAGAAAGGAATACTTTGATGTCTGTTTTGCTTTTAATATCCTCAACTACTACCAAAGAATCTACTACATAAAAAGCCACGAATGCCTTGGATGCTTT